GAAAGACAGAGCGAACGCTTAAAGTTTAGATCTCCAGATTATTACAATGCTCGGTATTAAAGTGGCCCTGAGCAAGCTTTCAAAAGGAGCCTAATAAAAATTGATCTGCCCTGCTTCTGCAGCGCTTGGAAAATAGGCTCGTAGAGCGGCCATAATATCGGGAGAAGGCTCCCTCCGAAATGACAGATGAAGTCATAAACAAGTTTGATCTCGGAATCAAGCTTCGATAAATATTAAACACGGTCCCCTTTCCACGTGTGGATTATGATATATGGCGCGTCCAAACTTTAAAATAAGGAAATACCAGAGAAAATGATCTCGATAAATTTTCTAAGTATAAACGTTGATTATGTTTCGATTTTCATTCAAGAGCCTCTGCCGCTCGTTTTTTGGCGCAAATGACATCTCGCAATGGGCTTTTGGGGAAAAGGGCTCCTGTTTGAGAAAGAGAGCCCTAGAGGTGTACAATTTATGTAATCTGCGGCTGGAAAATGAATTGTGTAATTTATTGGAAAACAGAAAGTCGCGAAGATTGGATCAGCATAGCCTATCCGAGGGCCCCTATCCATCAAGTTCCAATTAACAACCTAACCAGAGAGCTTTAATGTGTTTCCAATCTAGTGGCCTGATAGACTCATCAATTCCTCGGGGAGAAATTAAGAAAATCGACCGCCCCTTGGCGTTGTAGTGTCATTCCTTTCTGCAACTATATGTCAAATTAAAAACACAATTAAAATTTAAACTGTTTCAATCAGAGGGTGCCCTGCAACCTATGTTTCACTTAATAGAACTTTGATGAAAATCTGATGGTTCCACTCCATCATGAAAGCGAATAGAGCCGAGGAGTGCGAGAGATCCTTTCTATTTATTGAAAACGCGGGGCCCGGCGGGCTCCAGGTGAGCGCAAGGCGAGATCGGGGCTCTGCCCGGCGATGCGGGCACACGGACGGGGCGGGCAGAGCGGAGCGGAAGGGGACGGAGCGCTGCCGGTTCCCGTGCCCCCACCTGGGGACGTCGGAACGGGATGGGGAGGTGCTGCGCGGGGCAGGGCTGCGCACCTTCCCCATCGATTCCCACGCGAATCCCTCAGCGGGGCTCAACGCGAGGATGCGGCCCCTCGAAGCTGCCCTGCGTCGCTCTTTCCCCGCTTTTCCTTACGTAAGAGTTCTTTTGCCGCACGCTTTTGAAACATTTCCAAGCTCCAAAGCTCTCTTTGGGGCCCGGACTGAGCTCCGGGAATCCCTCGAAGGTACGGGAGAGGCGCAAGGTCACCGACAGCACCCAAAGAGCGCAGGAACAATAGATTCATTGGAAACGATATTTTACAGACGTGCCGCGATCAATAGAGACCGCAGCATTGCGCCGTGCCAATCTGTTAATGCTCCTAATGGTCTCCTCGTCCCGTTTGCGCGCTACGCGGAGTCGATGGAGCAAAGCGATTATTGCAGAGACACTCTCGGCATATTTGGGAAGGGAGGGAGAGGGGGAAAAAAAAAAAAAGAAAAATAGAAAAAAAAAAAGAAAATTATCCCCAACCCCACGCGTTTATTGCGCTGTCGGACCGCGGGATTTTCCCACGGAGCGGAAAGAATCGCATCTGCGCAGCGCATGCAGCGGAATTCGGAAACCTTCGGAGAAAGGAGGAGGGAAAAAAAAAAAGGGGGGGTGGGGGGGGGTGGAAAAGCAAAAAAACTCCGTTACCGATTACCGACCTCCCGGAGGTGCTCGGAAGAAGCGGAGCGCCGCCCCGCCCGGTCCTTGCGCAGCCCGCGGGAGGCAAAAGTCGTCTGATCCCCAAAATGCGGCTCTCGGGAAGTTTATATCCCCCCCCGCGCTGTTTGCAGTACACAGCCAGCCGCTATTTACTACCAAATAAAAGAAATACATGGGTGTTTGTAGCGCAAACACGGCTCCGCTCGGCGCGGAGAGCTCGGTGCGGACAAAGGCGCAGAGCTGCGGAGCGGAGCGCGGCCGCTGCGGCGCAGAGAATGGAGGAGAAGTTCGGTAGCACCGCACCGACACCCCCCCCCCCCCCCCCCCCCCACCACACACACACACACATCCTCCCCCCTCTTTGTTCGGTCTCTCAAAAGGTGTTTTTTTCGCCGCCCCGAAGGGTTTCTCGCAGCCGTAGGTGTGCCCGAAGGGAGAGGTGACAGAGCTCCACGGTTGGGTGCGGGGACACCTGGGGAGGTGTGGGGGTCTGAGGGAAAGAGCGGCCCCAAAAGGGCTCTGCCAAAGGGAAAAGTGTCCCGGCTGCAACGCTGTCCCGACTCTGTCGCCGCTCACAGCCCCGCAGCGATGTTTCCCTTCGCCCACAGCCCATCCACTGCTGTCAGAGGAGGAGAGGGGTGGAAAAGCTGAGCTCTCGCTTTACATTTACTTTTCTTTGCCTTCATTCTTTTTTTCTTTTTCTTTTAGATTTTCGTTTCCCCCTCTCCCATTCTTCCCCTTTTATTCCCTTTCCCTCTTCTTCTTTCCCTTTATATTTTCTTTTCTTTTCCTTCTCTCCCTTTTCTTTTGTATCTTCTTTTCCTTCCCTCCCTTTTCTGTTGTATTTTCTTTTCTTTTCCTTCGTCCCTTTTCCCTTTATATTTTCTTCTTTTTCTTTCTTTTCCCTTTCCCCTCCCCATCCTTGTTCCCCCCCTCCCTTCCCCCCGCCCCTTAAGAACCACAGCCCTACCCCAGCGGAGCTCACAATGCGGAGTAGCCGCTCTCGCACCCCCCTCACTCAGGGATGGCCGGGGCAGTCCGGAGTCGTTCGCTGCTCCCCGACCACAAATAAGCGACAGCTTTCCCCCGCCGCTCGATAACATCGCTCTATCGCGTATAAAATGGAAAAAGATGTATTTGCAATCACAACAATATTTTTAATGAGCTGCAAACGACTTGTCCCAAAGTTAGCAGTGCAAACACAAAAGGCATCACTCTGTTTGCAGGAGACACAGCGAGAGCCGTATTTTGGCTCCGACCCTCTGTTTGTGTTCCGTTTACGACCCATCGCATCAGGTTTGGATCCCAAACGAAAGAAAGGCGCGGAGCTCTCCGCCCGTAGAACGGAGTTTTATTTTGATTCCTTCGCCCCCCGCTCCCGCCCTGGGCACTATAAACACATCGGGTGAGGCAGATCTGAACGGAGAGGGGAGCGATTTGTGCCGCAAATAACCGTGCGGTGTGTGTGTATGCGTGATGGGGGGGGGCACCCCGAGGGCAACAGCGAGGGGGGGCCCGCCGGGGAAAGGTGCGGCATCCAGCAAGGAGTGCCCCCCCCAAACGGCGTCTCATCGCCTCCCCCTCCCCCCCCCCCCCCCCCCCACAGCGTCCCATAATGCCGTACCGATGATGGAGGATGGGGGGGGATCGCATCCAGCCGGGACCCCCCCCATCTCCGGTCGGGAAACGTCGGGGCCGGACTCACCGCGGTGCCCCGCAGAGCCGCCCCCACCCGCCCGTGGGAGCCCCTCCTCCCGTTCCGGTGGTTGTTTGGCATCTTTGTTGTTTTGGTGTTGTTTTCTTCGAAGAAACGCTTCAAGAAAGAGATAAAAATAATAATAATAATAATAATAATAAAAAGAACGCTAAGGAACGGGTTTTATTATTACTATTATTATTGTTGTTGTTATTATTATTATTTTCCACCACAACATTCAGTTGATAACAATATAGGCTGTAAAAATAGGACCGAACCCTAACAGAAAGCAAAGGGAGGAGGGGGGGGGGGTACAACCGAGAGGGGGGAGGGTGGAAGGGAAGCGAAATAAAAGCAATGAGAAATCCGAAAAGAAAAGAACGGCGCCCGTCCCAAACCCTCGGGAAGAACGGCCGACAACGGAGGAGAGACGCGGGGTGGGAGGGGGGGAGAAGAGAGGCCGTCCCGGTTCGGTTCTGCCCGCGGCCTCCGAAGGAGCTCAGAATAAAACTGCGACATTGGAGCAAAGAAACGAAAATCCCCCTTAAAGTTGATTGTCCTTCACTGATAGCGCCCGGCCCGCCGAACCGCCCGCATTGCTCCGCGGGGCCGGGAGGGTGCGGAGCTCCACGCCTCTCCCTTCACTTCCATCTATTGGATTTTATTGTATTCTTAATAATTCTTCTTCTTCTTTAATTTTATTTCGTACAACACGAGCGAAACGCAGTTATACAAGGCTAAACCCTCCCCCCCCCCCCCCCCTTCTCCTCACCCGCTCAGGTAAAAGCAGTGCTTTGAGAATCGTCGTACAGTATTGCACAGTTCAAAAGTACAAGAATAAAAATAAGGATTCATCATCATCATCAATCAATATTACAAAAGGAACCCCAAAGAGTACAGATGTTCTCCCCTCCCCCCCCCTTTTTTTTTTTTTTTTTTTTTTTTTGCCCAAATACCGAAATAACATTACAAGGAAAAAAAAAAGCAAACAAAAAAAACCAAAAAAAAAAAACCACCCACAACCAACCAAACATCCAAAAAAAAAAAAAAGACGAAAACAACGAGCAGGAAAATAAGAACGGGAATCCGACAGAAGAGTTCTGATTACCCCCCCCCCCCGCGGCTGTGCCCCCCGCAGCACAACGCGATGAGGTCGGAGCAAAGCAGCGCTCCGAGAGGGATGGAACGATAGAATTCCTCACTTTATTATCATTATTATTATTATTATTATTATTGGCTTTCCCGATTTGGCAAATCTCGAGGAGGAGGAGCGGCGTGGGATTTTTTTTTTTTTTTTTTTTTAATTATTATTATTATCTTTTCTTTCTTTCTTTCTTTCTTCCTTTTTTTTTTTTTTTTTTTTTTTTTAATTTTTCTTTTGTACAAAAATAAACCTAAAGCCACAGAGACCATCGCGGTGTGTGTTCGCGGTTACAAAAGGTGTGACAGCCCCGGGGTGCCCGCTTTCGTTTTCCTTCCCCCCCCCCCCTTCCCCACTTTTGCTCCCTAATTATTTTCTTGTAACGCTTTTTCATTCTTTCCTTACCCTCTCCACCCCCCTCCCCTTTAACCCCCCTCCCCGGCTCCCCTCTCTCCGCTATAGGGCCGTAGCGCTACTTACGGGCGGCTCCGCGCCGCTCAGCGCGGGGCTCAGACGGGCCGCAGGAGCGGTACGGAGGTGACCACGGGGTGGGAGTAATAAACGGGGTGGGGGAAGGTGAGCAGAGGCTGCGGGCCGGGACCGCCGCCTCCCGCCGCGCTGCTCTCCGCGCCCGAGTTCTCGTGGTAGAGGATGGGGACGCGCACGATGCGCTGCGCGGCAGCGTGGCTGAGGTTGGCCGCCTCCAGCTCGGCCGCCAGCTGTCGCTTCCACTTGTTGCGGCGGTTCTGGAACCAGATCTTCACCTGGGTCTCTGTGAGGTGCAGCGAAGCGGCCAGGCCAGCCCGCTCCGAGCTGCTCAGGTAGCGCTTCATGTCGAAAGTGGACTCGAGCTGGAAGACCTGGCTGCGGCTGAACACCGTGCGCGTCTTCTTCTTGCGGCACGGCTTCTTCTCGGGGCTCTCCTCCCGTTTCTTCCAGTCCTCCGCGCCGCCCTCCTTCTTCCCCTCCTCCGAGTCGCTCTCCTCCAGCACGATCTCGGCGGGGCTTTTGGAGTCCCGCTCCTTCTGCTCCGCGTCCCCCCCCTGGAGCAGCGGCTCCGGGGAGTCCCTGTCGGTGCCCGACGCGGGGGACGAGTCCCGCAGGAGGGATTTCTCCGCAGCTGAACGGGGACAGAGGGACA